ACGGGTTGAAAGATGAGTGAAGTGGGAAGCCCTTCGCACTGAGGGAACTCGTGACGAATTTTCGAGGGAGATCGGCGAGAAGTACTCCCAACTGCCTCCCTAGATGTCAGATGTACGGCCAATGGACGCTATTTCGGTCTGGTGTTTCGGCGGCGGCAGCAAGAGTGTGTGGGGAGAAGCGCATCGGAGTGGCTCACGGTAACGGAAAGCGAACCATGGACGGCAGCATTGCGCGAGGCTGTCACTACCAAGAAGGTAGCCTACCGGGCGTACATGTCCAGTAGTTCTGATTCTTCTAGGACGTACTATACCAAGGCGCGACGAACTGCTGCTCGTGTTGTGGCCAAAGCGAAACAGGAGGAGTAGGTGGAATTCGGCGATCAAATGGAATCAGACTATCGCACTGTCATCAAGGTTTTCTGGCAAACGATCCGAAGGTTACGGCAAGGCAGGCAACACACACTCCGGGTCATCAAAGACAGAAACGGGGAGGTGTTGGCTGCCGAGGCCGATATACTTGGAAGGTGGAAGGAACACTTTGAAGAGCTCTCAAACCAACTAACACTGGACACTGACCTGCCCGACCTGGAGCCTTTCAGCGCGGAGACTAGTCTCACCATTGGGGAAGTTCTGTAGGCCATTGCTAGCCTGAAGAATGGGAAATCTCCTGATCTGGATGAAATCCTGGCAGAGATTCTGAAAGCAATGGGTACAGATGGGTGCTCGTGGCTTTATAGGGTGTGTCAGGCTGCTTGGGAATCGGGAACGGCACCTACGGATTGGCAAACCGGTGTGATGGTTCCTCTTTTTAAAAAGGGGGACTACAGGGAATGCACGAACTATCGTGGGATCACTCTCCTCAGCATACCTGGTAAAGTCTATTCCAAGGTGCTGGAAAAGAGATCTCGGGCAGTCGTGGGTGATGCCATCCAAGAGGAGCAGTGGGGCTTTCGTGAAGGGCGTAGCACCACGGACCAGCTGTTCACTCTCCACCATATCCTCGAGAGACATTGGGAGTATGCCAAAGATGTCTACATGTGCTTTGTAGACCTTGAAAAAGCTAACGACCGTGTACCCCGAGAAAAACTGTGGAGAGTGCTGCAGAAGAATGGGATAAAGGGTCAGCTATTGTGGGCCGTTCTGTCCCTATACAGCGATTGCAGAAGCTGCGTCCGAGTGAGCGGGAGGAGTTTGGATTGTTTTCTGGTACGCTTTGGACTCCGGCAGGGTTGTGTCCTCTCACCTTCCTGTTCCTCGTGTACATGGACAGGATCTGTAGGCGCAGCCTCGGCCTGGAAGGGGTCAACATCGGTGACGTCGCGGTAAGGATACTTCTCTTTGCCGACGATACCGTGCTTTTGACCCGCTCTCGCCTTCTTCCTCAAATAAAAATTGATAAATTGCTAAGTCACATCGATGCAGCTAAATTTCTTCGCGTCCTTTCCGTATCTATAGTTGTTTCTCAATAATTCAGGGCTAATTTATGTTATTGATCCTTTGAATAAACTAACTGAATATCCCCATTATCCCCATGATATGAATATCCCCCCATTGCACGATAATTCAGCTAAAACGGTGAAAAAAAATCATTCAAAATAGAGCTGACGAAGATGGTTCTTCATCTATTCATGTTTTATCCAATTGTATGCAACTTCCTTGATCTTTTCAACGAAACAAACGCCGGGTTATTAGAGCAGAGTAAAAATCGCTTTATTCAAGAAAATTTTGAGTGGTCAAGGTGAAGAAATCGGCTGGCAAGGAGGATGTCTCTCTATGCAGAACTGTTCGAAAATATGGGGATCCAAGTCTTCAAAGGAACTGCCATCCTGGCAGGAACCGGAAATATGGGCCTGAAAGTCTGGATTACGCCCGAACCAATCAATTCTACATCCGCATATGATCGGGTTATCTATAGTGGACAGGAGACGAAAAATAATCATTTTTCATAGTGGAAAAAGGAAATGACTGAAAGGATCACAGATGGGAAGATCATAAAACCAACCCGTAACTGACAGCGATCCAAATCCACGTTGAAGAACCTCCAGGATCGGGCGGAAGGTAGCTTCCGTCAAGTCTGTGATTTTGTTCCCATCAAGACCAACAAACGTGTCAGGTGTGACACCTAGGACAGACATAGAGGGAACGTGTCAAATAACTTCATGTGAAGTATCTTCTGAAAAATTACTTCAGCTATGATTGAAATATGGGAATGGATTTTAAAATCCTCCCAAAGCGAAGTTGATCGTAATTTACCCGTAATAGCGCCTTCTTCGATGTTTGAGATGTCGTTCCAGCTAAGTCCAATGTATGTCACGATTTCACTGTGGAATCCCAGAGAACCCTTGAACAGGGTCGGCCCCAGGTGACATCCATCACAATTGAAAAAGTGTAAGTTTCCCAAGCCTTCGAAGAACCCATGGGGGATCTCAGAGATTGGATTCATACCTGCACCAGATGCAAATGTATCAAATAAATACCATCCATATCATTTGATCATTATGCGGAAAATTTTGGAGAAGTTCTTGTTTGGGATGTTCTAACTGCTTGTGATGCGGTTGGGAAAGAAATAAGAGGATCGTTCATGGTATACCAGGAATTTTTTTTTATGCAAGGCAGAGTAACGTATGCAGATGAATAATTTAGATGAATTTGTGCTCACAGTGTTGTTAACACATAAGTTGGAACAGCGAATCAGTGTGAACTGCTGGCCAACGAACGCATCCGACCTTTAGATATTTATATGTAATTGCCAGCACAGTATGGTGATGACTGCCTGTGAAGGACATCCCTATTTGGCTAGTGGAAATCATTCAAATATGGGTGTGAATGCATGCATTATTAAGCTCACGGTGCAAGACCAGCAACTTATTTCAACAAAGCGAACATTTAAGAGACATGAGGATCTTATTTTGATCGACAGAAGGGTTTCTTCTTACAATCATCACCACATTGTGCAGGGAATCGTCTGTAAATTTCAAAATATTTGATGTTTTCGTAGGCCAGAATTGTCAAGATGATTCGCTGCTCCACTTTCTTTGCTACCTCAACTGCCGCCATCTTGATATTCAAAACATGTATTAAAGCAGGAAACGTGCAATTATTTTCATGGGGTACCGACACTATAAAACAAGTTCTTCAAAAAATTATTAATCTAAATGACTTCGGCGTTTATATGCAATAGTCTAGGTGAAATTTGAACCACCATTATATTCAGATTCCTATTTTATTAATTACCTCATTAGCCACCATCTTGATTTTCCAGGTCTTGTATTAAAGCAGGAAACACGCGATTGTGGGCATGATTTAACAATCCTTTAAAGACAAATCCTCCCCAAATTATTATTCTGCACACGTTAATATGTGTTGTATAAACATATGTCCTGGTATAGACTGAGCACCGCTCGTATTTCCTTGTTGTCTGAAGAGGCGTCTAGAGCAAAAAATTGCGTCGCAATCTATACATGTGAAACTCGATATTTATAATCTTACAACATCCTTGCAAGTTTATGCGACTGAAAGAAGGAAAATAATTAGAAAAAAACTCTCTATTTAGCCCGACATGATGGAAAATAATGGGTGCAGAAAAACTTCCGAACAAGTAATATGGAGATTGCTATACTTTGGAAAAGTAAGTTTTCAGGGTGCATTAAGTCTGTTTGAACAAAGTTACAATGGGCAAATATTCACTAGATCCTTTATGCAATGCTTTTTGTACATCAAATATAACTTGCTAATTGACGCAGTACCGTAGAACAGGGTTAACATTTGGAGAATACATTTCAAATTTTGTCAAAGCAATCATTTACGTCATCGCATTCGACTGTACTCACCCATTCGGAGAGTGGTCAAGTTTGGTGCAGACCATCCAGATTTCAGTGTTGCAATTTGATTCCAAGAAATATCGATATTCTGAATACTATCGCTTAGGATGCTGGATATCTCTTTCAATTCATTTCCAAATAGGGTGAGAGACGTGAGTTTGGTTAATAGAGGCAGTGTATCCCAAGGAAACTCCTTCAAATGGCTAAACATGATATCCAACTCCTCCAGTGTGTCTAGAGATGAAAGTAGGGCTGAGGGATGTATGGTTGCCACTTGGTAACCGGTAATCGTGATTCTCTCGAAAGAGACATCCCCAAAATATCCTCCCGGGAATTCCTTCGCCATAATCTCATCCTCTGCCATATTCCCATCCTCCTCCATATTCCCACCGAATAGAACGAATTTCCTAGAAGCAGATGAAAGGTGAATCAAACCCTTTCCCATGGAATTGCTGCAGAAACTTGTAATATGAAAACTATGGAGACCGGACATCGTAGCTGCGCGTGACCGCGACGATACAGTTTCTAGGCTTACGGGTGAAGTGCCGCATATGGCATCCTACAAGTACACATCTCTCTCTTCCCATCTCCGCGCGATCCGGACGCACGGACACTTCGACAACATTTTCTAGTGTTCCAGGACCTTTTCTGTAGGCTGATGTTGTACCGATGTCAGTTATTCTATATTTTTAAATTGAATGGTTAAGATACAGCGAAGAGAATAATTCCAGTGGTATAATGGACACTGGAATAGCTGATCTGTGCCTTACCTGGCACTCTAGTACTTCTTTCCGACTTCCCGCAGTATCCATAGAAACCGGATAACACTGCTACCTGCGTATGTGAAGCTTTCAGCCCGGTTCGGGGTGCACTTCTTCCACTAAAACATCCACTTTTATTCCATCCGCAGTGAATGACGGAACTATTGCAGATACTAAAAGAGCGACTGCTCGCGGCCATATAGACAGGGCTTGCTAGGTGTACCCTTGAAATGATGCAACTGGCATCTCAAACTTCAAACTCACCTCCTGTCTTTACACGCGACGCGGACACGCGAGCTGCCAACACTAAAAGAAATTTCCGAAATTTCAGATTTTTCTTTGCAAAAATTTTCAACTAAAGACATTTGAACATAGATTTCGCATCATGATCGAAACTTGTTTCCTGCATTCCTTCGGAAAGCCCGCTTCGTCTTCGAAGTAGGCTTTCCGAAGTTGGGTTTCTTCGACGCATCTGATTGGCGACATGCATGCGCGCTTTTCGCTCCAGCTGCTGCATGCATGTCGTTCATGTAATTGACGTGAAATGGCTTTTCTCGCTGATTCTCTAATAATAATAATATTACAAGTTGTTGCAAAATGCTCAATTAGGTCAGAAAAAAGTTTTCCGTTGTTCCTGTTTTCCAGATGCTCGTAGAAAATCCCCTTCGGGCAGCGAAACGGATGTAGACTTATGACATACTCCGATACACAATTTTACGAGATAATCAATTGTATCGTAACTCTTTCCCCAATCTTCACGTCTTATTTATTCCAAGGCTTCACCGAAAGACTTGAGCATTTAACTACGTTCCTGAAGCTAAAGCCACTCCTTGCATGAAGTTCCTTGTCTGATTGACATAGTGCATTGGCCCTAAAAGAATCTTCTCCCTAGGTTTTGAAATTAGGCAACATCTGAAGTATTTTTGAACACCATTGTAGCTTAAAGATGGAACTTGAAACTTGCATCGCTTGCGTCAGTTTGACATACCTATTCCAGTCAATAAACAGGTAGTTGGAGATTTTCTTACTACCGATTAATCATCCTTTTTTTCAATTGGCTGCAAAAGGGTGGGGTTAGAAACCTGATGTCAGGAGAGAATGCACAAAAACAAAGTACATAGTTACAACAGGTAGCATGAGGGAATCGGAGCAATTTGAGGAAGAAATGACTAGGGGAGAATGGAAGGCTGTTCTGTTCATCGTGGAGCGAAAATGCCGCCCATTGTTGAGGTTGGCTAGGCTCTATATCTGCAGGGGCTCCCATAGAGATGTATATACTATGTATTACTAGACTGGATAGTCATAGGTACGTGGGTGGGGCTTTCTGACGCCATGATTTTGGGGGTCAAAGACAAGCCCCGCCCACATGTCCCATACAAGCTTTCTGCTCACATATCCTGTACACGCAACTTGCATTCACCCAGTATCTGTTAGTCTTCACGCCTCTTTCCAGGACTTCGAGTCCACCAAGTTTCACCTTTAACGGGAAAGTACTTTCTCAGATCAGGAAGTACGAGGTTGAGGACTATTCTTTGGGAATTATACTTGCAGGCCTAGAACGAAGACTTCAAGACCGATTCTGAAGTGCCACTGTACTCGTCTCGTTTCTCTACCAGAGTGCCTCCATGCGCAAAACGTGTTGGACTGAATTACTGTAATTTAAGAGGCACTAAAAGGACCTATAAGGACTTGTGAGTGGCCGAAACATCGGACCAAGAGAAAAGCCTACCTGACCGATTTCTATCAATTACATATTGCCAGACTCATCTCACACTTGGAGGTGCACCTTTTCGGAGTCTAAGGCACTGATCTGGTATTGAAAGTAGTAATAAGGTACTACTAGGAGGTACCTGATGTACAACATACAGGCAAAGAACATAAATTATTGGAAAAGGTTTTTTTTTTTAAATGGACAACTGGATGGATCTTCCTGGGTAGGGTTACCATATTTCGGAGAGTCAAAGGGAGGATACCTTCATATATTCAGGGGATATTTATTTTTATTGGAAAGTGAAGGTTCCTTGTTCCATGCTCAAATGAGCAAGACATGAGGAATTCCTCGGCATGTTTTTTTTCCATGTTATTAAAAAAAAAAAACAAGTCACACAGACCTAATTAATTTTTCGACGCCCATGCATACTTTTCTGTTGAACAAATTTTCGATGTTGATTCAGCAAGTAACCATGAAAATCTTACAAGACATGTGTTCAAAGTTATACTGCACCAGAAGGATCCCTTTCACAGACACAACAGCTGAGTTGTTTCGTTTCTGTGTCCACTGATTTCGCATTAGCGAAAAAACTCTCTCCACATTTGCATTGTGAGAAGGAATAGCAAATAAAAAATCTGCTCTCTTTAACAACTCTGTGAGAGATTCGACATTTTTTGAGCTGTTGAAGTACTTAATCCATTTTTTGTAAGCTAGCAGAAAGTTAAAATCTTTTGGCATGAGAAGTTCTTAACCTTGTGTATCGCACAAACTTAACTATGGTTGTTCTGCCCGTTTCCCGAAGCATTGGAGATGGGATTTAATTAAAATTAGGATGGGAAAAATGCCCATACTGCCCGCGTATTAAAGGAGTTGATAAAAAAAAGTTGTTTCTCAACCGTCTCAATTCAATATTGGGAGATTTTATGGCCGGCCAGAAGCCCTGACTTGACAGCCACCGATTTCCCCCCCACTTTAAAGTCATGCATTTACGGAAACAGACCAGGATCCTGTAAAGAATTAAGCCGAAACATCGAACTTGAAATAGCCAAAATTACCATAAACATGATTCACAAAGTGATGGGCAAAGCAGTGATGTGAGCGTGCCAGTGCATACCTGAAGGAGGCGGCCAATTACGCAGAATTGTTTTTAACAGTATAATATTTTATAAAAAACCAAATGTGCATACTGTCTACTTAAAACTCTTCAATATGTGGTATACTATGAAGTATAAGAACTTTAAATTACTATTTAAAAAAATATGCAAGTCACAGAGCTTTTATTTGTCAGGTATTTCTTGGCCACAATGTGCATAAATTTAAACGAAAAAAAATGCTTTCAGAGCTTCACAGTGCAATGACACGTTCACTGCCGATGACGAACGTGCGCGTCAAAGGCTGGTTTTAAGGAGCGCCGATGAAGTACCTAAGCGTTATCGGCGATTTACTGTTTCGATACCTCCGTTTTTAAGGGGCATGGGGCGCAAGGAGCTGGCATTGGCAATTAGCATGAACCACGCGACTCAAGGTGGTGCTCTATTTTCGGCGTAGCATCATATGTGAAGTATCTGACTTCGTTCGCTAAGAACTTGAAATGACTGACGAAAGCATCGATGAAGCTGTGGAAATATGAGATGTGAAACCTGCTGACTCTCGCAAAGGAGGATTGGCAATATACTGTATGGGATATAACTGAAGTAAATGTTGGTGGGGTAATGGAGTGGCCAACAGATGTTCACGGCAATGGATTGGAAGAAAAACAATTCCTGCACGCCCGAAAACAGGCTAACTACTGCCTGGGTTTTCAAAGATGTTTCCTTATCTGCGGTTAAAAAGATATGAATTGGGAAGTTCGACCGATTGAAATACCAACAGTAGATTACATGTGTTCTTTAGGCACAACCCATACAAATTGGAATATGATATGAAATCGCATGGGCTACAGAAAAGTTAATTCGGTACCTGTCACCCACTACCTGACTTACTGGAGCTTCTTGAAGGGCCACGTGACATTGTTGAATACTGAGGAGGTTCCAGCACTTGAGTTTTCCACCCAACAGACCACCTCCACGTTATCGATGGTATTGTTGGCTTCAAAGAAGGTATCAGATTGGAGGTAATCGAAGATATTTTTCAAGGGATGAAAGCGGGAATGCAAGATGTTGCATGTACAGGGGAAAATATTTTCAGGATCGGGGCATGGGGATTGCGCAAATATTCCAGATGAGGTAGACAGAAGGAAGAAAGGAAAGGAGAGATAGGTTGTATGGGAGAAATACATGGTTGTGTTGAAGCCAAGCTGAGACTGAGTCGATTCGCATCCACTCAACTCCTTTTATAGTCAGCGCTTTGCCAGCGTCATAGGCCTCTCACATGTGAGTGAATCGACGGTTGGGACACTGGGAATGAAACAGGAATAGTCGTGTTGATTGACTTTTTTTTGTAAGCAATAAGAGAAGTCCCTAAAAAGTAGACCTCGGATGAGAAATTTGAGTGCACTAATAAACATTATCACAAGACAGCCGCACGATACCATTACGAAAAGATCTTTAGGATCCAATGAGGTTTTATAAAAATAAAAATATTCTAGAATTCTCATGGGACTCCAATAGACTTCTCATACCATCCTATAGGCTTCCTATAGGATTTTCCCGTAAGGTTATCCCCCTTGTAATGTTCTTCCATGTTTAACCTTTCAGGAACCGTGCGGGCCACGGTGAACACAATAAATGTTTTGATATGCTATAGCTTCGCTTGAAACAGATGGGATGTCTCATATTCATTGACGGTATTCCTTTCAGAAACTGGTATACATATATACTTCCAAAAATGGTCTGGTACTAATACGTACCAGAGAAAACATAATGACTATTTGGGAGTACCATTGAAGTCTCTGGTTACCCCAGTATGTAAAGGGGGAAATTATCCTATTAGTCTGTACGACTGCCATGTCAATTTCACTATTGGAGCTCATTGAATATATACTTATATCTTGTCGCTTTCAATAACGTGTCTCCCATTTTCACAGTATGTCTCCCCGCACGTAGCTTTTTGAAACCTATTATTTTTTTTTACCCTGGTGGCGAATTTCCGAACTGAAGCGAGGCATCGCCCTTCATTTCCGTCCGGCTGTTCCTTCTCTCATCGTTAATCATCCAGTTTTTCCCTCGGTCCATATGCAGCTTGACAACGTCCTGTTGCACATATCTCTCTCGACCCTGCAGCTTGTGAAGATTCGCCGGATCTCATTTCCCTATCATTAATAATAGCATTTCCGTTCAAGAAGTACATTTCCTCATTTTAAAAGCAAATTTAAACTGCCTACGTTGAATTTCGCTATGAATAATGGTAACATTGCCGTAACGTTATTGTATTGCCAGTAATTTCCCCGGTCATGCTTACCGGTAAAATAACCGATATCATAAAATGCAGCACTTTTTTTTACTTTTCAGCTTTTCGTATTTCAGGAAAAATGCATAATATTCTGATTTAATCCGAGCCTTTGCCATAGTCAATGACAATGTTATAATCGCAAAGGCCTGAAAGTCAAGGTTCAAGGTAGTTAATGACATCAGGAGGCGATTACAACCATTTCGATATCACGTGTCAAATTCGAGCGTTCCTTAATTTTAGGGTGTGCATAATCCTCTTAATGCTAAATATTTTTGCATTTTTTGGTTTTATTTTTTTAGCGTATCCTAGTTGTTTGCTGCCTAGTCCCTATCTTCAATATTGCCACCCACCTCTTTGCCTGTCCATAAAAGCATCGTTTTTTCTTCAAAATAGTCATAGAAGGGGCAGCCACTACTTC